ACACACTTAGGATAGGGTGTACTGAACTGAAAGCGGTGCCACACGCCGGCCTAGGGTTCCATTTCCTAAGGGTACCAGTACGAACCACGGGAACCTGGAGGACTTCGAAAACGGACCGACGGGGTGACGGCGTAACGTGCATGTCTGCGGAACTCACTAGCCCTTTACTAAGGGTAGAAACTAGCTGGGTTCTCGGCTTAGCCCAGTGGCCATGCACGGAAAAACTCAAAGCAGGTACGTGAGAGTGATCAGCTCTCATTTCCCGTACAATCAGGTAGCTTCGTTGGACATGGTCCCTGATTGTACGCCATGTCCCCCTGCTGCACAAGGAAAACAACTGTGAAGCTAAAACAATCCGAAAGGATCCCTATGATTCCAAGGGTTACACACACACACACACTTACTTACACACACTTATAGATTTATAGACAAACTGGTTTGTGGGAGGCCACTTGCTACGTAGGGCACTCCAATTCATGGGCCACTCATCCACCACCAGCAACCACTCCTCTCTGCCCACGCTGGGTGGCCCCACCACAGCGCCCACTTTCAGCTTCAAGAGCTTCTCAAAGCGACCATGCTGCAGTGCTTGCCGTGCCGTGCTCCCCGGCAGCTCGAACGAATCCGTTGCCTCGTAGGCATGCTCGTCACCTGCTGGACAGTTGTTCAATGGTGGAAACAGAAGAGGAAAATGCTCCAAAGGACTTGGCAGTGGTAAACTGTTGTATTGGGAAGATAGGCAAAGCTTGCCAAGTTGCTGAGATGTCGAAGGAGGCACAATTTAAACATCTCTGTCTAAGTCCCTTGAAGAACAAATGTTGAAAAAAACGCCTGCATTTCGGCTTGTCACCACTCGCCAGGGATAGATGGGATAGGAGGGGAAGCAGGGATGGCACATGGCTCGCAGTGTTTGTTTCATCGCTAATGGGCTTAATGATGGGCAAGGCCTCCAGGCCCCACCTGGCAAGGCCTCCAGGCGTCGTTGGTTCTCGGCCTGAGCTTCTTTGTTGGTGCTCACGATCGTCGGGTAGGCCATGGCTTCCTGCCGAAAAGGGTAGGCTCTTTTTGGAGGATCCGAGATCAAAAGACTGGAGCAAGGCTCTTTCGGGTCCACAGTTCGGCGCTGTTCGAAACCCTTATGGATTCAGAACACCCTGGAGGAGACCCCTTGCATGGTGCCAATTGACTTGGAGAGCACACGTTCGGAACATCATCCTCTTGATCCACATCCCGCCCCCCGAAAGAGAGAGATACATGGGTGGAGGATCCCTTCGACATGGACATTCACATCAACCAACCCCCACTCCTCGAGTCCAGAAATTGAAGCCTCTTGGCGCGGTGTGGAAGATGTGGTGTAGCCTCATAGGTTAACATGGACCCAAGTAAACTTACAGACATAGTTCTTTAAAGGAATGCGCATAATGATCATGTAGACTCTTGATTGATGAACTGCCGCACGCACCGTGAAGGGTCGTAGAATTCATGATATTCCGGGAGAGCTATTTTTGGTCATCTGATTCTCGTGTCGCGCTGTGGCACCGCCCAAGCTTTGAGAATACTGACAGGCGTCCCTCACCTGCCAAAAGGATTCACCACTATTGAATCATTTCTGGCAGATCATGTTGCTTCTAAGGCTGCCCACATCACATGTATTGGGGAGGATGCCTTCTGTGGAACCTCGGACTCCCTCCCACCATCTCCCACCTCCTCCTCCGGTGTCTTCAGTGCCCGCAGCGCGGCCGACGGCGCGGAGGAGGGGCCGGAGCGCAGTTGACAAAGGAGAGTGCGCAAGCGATCATCAAAGTGGCGATAGTTCCTGAAGCAATGAATCGGTGTAAGGGAAAATCTACAGGAAACCCTTTCTTTCACTTTCACCCCCCAAACTATGGTTTCCTGTAGGTTTTCCCTTAAATTACCCATTCTGGGACTGAAGCATGTTTTGACATAGCGCGAGCTGGGGATGTGGGTTGGCCCTTGGAAACCCAACCGGGGGGGGACATGTTCTGAACAGGATGTGAGTGAGTCGGCATAGAATAAGGGAATGGATTTGCTAGAAAAGCAGAATTCAACGGACTTCTCAGGATACCCTTGGTGTTCATCCATCAAACTTGGGGGTTATCATTGCCTCTTCGTGTGCCACAGGCCGATGCAAGAAGCGGACCGAGGTGAACAGGAGATGCCAAAGACACCTGCAATTCTATCACGCTCCTCACAAAGTCAGGGCCAAACCCCTGCGCCTCTCAGAAGAATTCCATCCACTAAACTTCAGTCTGCAAACCCCCTTCCTATTCCGCATCCACAGATCCAATCAGCGCTTCTGGAACTCTTCTGGAAGCAACTTTGTGGCGCTTTTGTGGCGCTGGGAAATTCCGATGTTTTTCCCCCCGCGCCGCGCCAGACACATCCAGACACCAATGCAGCGCTTCCAAGCTTCTGCTGCAAAGTGATGCACTTCAACTGCAGCTCCGACCATGCATTTGCCTCAAAGGCCATGACCTCCAGGACTCCAGGGGACGGTGCACAAGTGGAGATCAAGCTGGCCCTTGGCTTAATCTTTCACATTATTTGGATGACATGATGCCCAAGCCTGCCAGGACGATTACTGAATCTGCCAACAAGAGTGACTCAAAGCCCCTAATCCCAAGCCGCTTCGCTTCGTTTTCAGCCATGAACCGCGAGCCGCGCTTGCAGCCGCCCGTGCTAAGGCACCTCACGCTTCATCGGGGGCAGCTGCAAGAAGTCTCCGCAGAAGATCACCTGCAAACCCCCGAAGACCTTCCCACCTCGCACTCGGCAGATCAGCTCGTTGGCCCGATCCAGGAACTCTCCCGAAAGCATGCTCACCTGACGGACAAAGGCTCAGAGGCACAAAAAGGGCCACTGCCCGAAACTGGAATGGTTTTTGAAATGGGTTTCAACAAAGCGGTGAAGCCCACATGAACATGCATGCCCAGGGAAAAGAGGAAAGAGGTGAGGTGAGTGAGCAGCACATCCAAGAATACGCCCACCTCGTCGATCACCAAGGTCTTCAAAGCACCAAGTCTTTCATGCACTTTCGGGTTCTCTGCTGCCTCCTCCCAGTCCTGGCTGTGCTCTTGGACTGTCCAAAGAGCATGTCTCTTCAAGAGCTATGTCATTGGCAAAGGCCCACACTTGGGCATATACAAAAATAGCACCGGGTGTGTATAGATTGGTCAAGCGGCCCTTTTTGGAGTGACGCCATGTGAGTTGTGATGCCAACCACACCCGGTACACCTCCCGTCTCCCATCCTTCTGGCTCTCTGCGCGCCCACAGCCCAGGAAGGAGTGGATGGTGCTCCCCTGCACGTGAATTCCCGCCACGCCCGTGGATGCAGTGACTCCCACAGAGGGGAGACCATCCCGATGCTGCAAAAGCTGCACCAGCTGCTTCAAGACATAGCTCTTCCCACTCCCAGGCAGGCCAGTCAGAAAGATGTTCTGGCCATCCAAGGCCAGATCCACCTGACACCAGCAAACCAGCTTGACCTTTAAAACCCGAAAAACAGTTCAAGCTGCAAACTTCTGAGCTGCGAGGTCGCTGCTCTCGGTCGATGCAAAATGATGCAAATCGTTTAGGTCACGACAAGGCCATGGACTACGGGGGAAATCTGAGCAATAGATCCAAATTGCAAAAGTAAAAAAGCAAACATATAGTCATGCATATAGTACATACATAGAGAGAGAGAGATTGGCATATATCTATCTATATATATATATGTGTGTGTGTGTTGGCATATGTCTATATAAGTATATACCTATAAATATATTATACATATGTTATATAGTAACACTACACTAGCTGGATGGATCACAACAGGCTACAAGGGGCACAGTGCCCCCGAATCGATCGATCGCTTGAGGCTGTGGTCCACATGGTTCTTCGGGCTTCTGAGGCCCCAAGAACCACACCCCAAGAACCACACCGCATCACGTGTGACATCGGCTGGTTGAAACTCGTGTGTTATTGGGACCAAAGGTCTCAGAAAAAGCTTGAAAACCAATCCTTCCAACCACCAACCAGGATTCCGAGGGTCACTTACCACACAACTTACCAAAACAAATCAAAACAGCAGGCAATGCCGTTTTGAATCGTTTTGATGTCTCACTTCTGGCCCACTACCTTCCTGCCATGCCACCACTGCCCGTTGCTCTGGGTGCAATGTGGCAATCAGCTCCTCGACTCGCCGAAGCGGAATGCGTGGCTCCAGCATCTTCCGCCGGAGACCCTGGGCGGAAGTAGTCGGAAGAAGGCAATGGGCGACCCGCTCATCTGGAAGATGGACGCTTTTTGTTGGCTGTCGTTTCGATTTTGGAGGGCTTGCGGCTTGCGGTTGGAGCTTCTCTCTGTTTATCTCTTTTTACTCATCGCCGCATCGCTATTTGAGAGCCTTCGGGCCTGTTTTCAGAACCCGAGCGCCTCCTTCCATGGCTTCCTTCCCCTGGCTCCGCTGGCGCTCGTCTGCGCAGCTCGTTCCTGGACCAGCTGCGCTTTCTGGCGCGCAGCAGGCACGGCAGCCCTCAGAAACCGCCACATGGCTCCAGTCGGTTCGAGTCCGTTGACTTGTTTATCGGCCGCCGGGAAGAAGGATGCGTCAGGGCTGCGGGGACGAGGCCCCCGGCGGAAACGAGGCAGCGGCGGGCTTTCAGATGATCAGCATCTCAGTGACCGTTGTGGCCTCAAGTCCCTAAGGCCCTAAGACTGATCCACACTTCAGGCCGAGGTTGAGGGTACCTTTCCGGGATGCTTGGAAGCTATGATCAGAGACCCCACCACTCCTGTCCCATCTCTCTCATCTCTGCACCACCCGACCGATGCCACCCGCCTCGTTTTCCGACGCGGCGGCCAGGTGGGTGGCATCCTCCGGGACTTTGATCTCATGTGGGATCGTCACCTGGCACGTCCACCGTCGTGACCACGGCGAGGTCCACGGCGGAGAGGCTCTCGGCGACACGGCTCCGCGCCTTCGGCCCTCGGTGTCCATGCGGGAGATCTTAAGGAAGATTGGAAGAGCTTCGAACCTACTTTGGTGCTTGTTTCTCGGTGTGCTTTCCATCCTTGTTGACATCTCAGAAACTCCCCGATCTTCGAAATCAATCACCAACGAAGATGGTGAAGAAAGGGGGAGCCCATTGCAGGAACCGAAAAGAACGCCCCCTCCCAAGTCTTTTCCCCGGCCGCGCCGATGGAACCCCCACCGGGTGTCCTGGTGCCATGGGTCGCCTGCAAGGGGATGCCCCGTTGCGAGCATCGCTTGAACGGATCCTCCACATTCTTGCAACGCCAGATGCGGCCCAAGGGGCGTGCCCTGAGTCCGGAGGGGTGAGTGCGGAAGAGCGGAAGAGCTAGATGAGACATGTCCACAGCTCCTAGTAGCGTCCTTGCTCCTAGTAGCGATGCCAGGAGCCCCTAGTGGCTTCTAGCTACTAGTAGTAAGGCCAGGAGCCCCTAGTAGCGTCCTTGTTCCTAGTAGCTATTTTGGTGCCATGTCCACATGAGACATCCCAGGATCACGCCAGCAACACCATGTATGTCTGGATCTGTGGCGGTTTCTTGTCGGAGCTCCAGAGAAAGCATATAGGACGTGGAACCTTACGCATAAGAATCCACCAAGAATCCCCTCAAAATGATCTCGCTGACAAGGTACACAACAAATAATTCAGGGGACGCCCAACTGGCCAATCCCGGGCTGAACTCAACGGCTGGCTCCATTTCAAGCAAGTGGAACGTTGTTCGCACCAAGGTACTGGTACCTTAAACGAGCCCTGGCTAGTAGTCCTTGGTGTTGATATATAATTCAATCATTGGATCCCTTCATCCAATTGACTGGGTTGAGCTGGCTGGCAGAGAAGCGACACCCCAATGCATTCCTGCAAGTCGTGGATCCAAGGGACCCCAGAGGTATGCCACCCGAGGTTTTGAGGTATGCCAGGTATGGCATCTCAGAGCATAAGTGCCCAATATGACCACCACGGTCACCTGCATAGTTGCACAAAAAAACACCCCTGCCATCATCGGCCACCGGGTGCCCCTGCGGTCGGTAGCCCCACTCGCTTCCACCACTTTCTGGTGGACAGTGGCAAACGGTTCACCATCCAACATGATGCAAAAGCGAAACATCATGACTACAGTAAGTATTCACCTATTCACCTTCAATTTAACATGGGGGTCGAGCGATTCAAGATGCGCCTCTGCACGTCCTGCAAGCTTGGCACTCTCCTCTAGTCTATGCATAAAGAAGTCCGTGAAGAAGCCATCAGAAACTGCAAATTAGCTGCTACTAGCGATGCACTTGTTACTGGCAGCGATGCACATTGTTACTAGTGGCTTCTTGTTACTGTGGCTGAATTATCCAGGGATCATCATACTCCGCCAGTCTTAGGTCCCCTTTGCCCAGTCGCCTTCCTCTCTCTCCTGTAACGTGATGCGGAGCGGCAGTCAAAGATTCACGACGTGGCTGGAATCCGGGCCCTAGTAAATCATACAGGCTCTCAAATGTCCCAAGGGCGCCCTAAGGAAGTCCAATGAAGTCCAATCCGAAAATCAGTCGGATTTTAAAAAAGCAAACGGGGATGGGATTGGAACTACCCACTCGGACTGAGAACCGATCTCGCGGCAAACGCTGTTGGTTTTTTCCTAGCCAACCACTTAGGACTTGAGCCTCTACTTTGAAACCCTTGTCACAACCAATGAATCGAACACGCCTTCAATAGTGGCTAGTGCCATCGACAACTATATGGTTGCTATCGTCTGGTCATTGCTCACTGAAGAACAGGACACCACAGGATTAACCCGTGCTTGCTTTGCAGTATGATCGGTGAGTATCAGTTCAACAGCCCTTTCCTGCAATCCTATGGGCATTTGCAAATCCTATTCGGCGCATCCGCTGGCAGGTGAAAAATATTGAAGGACAGAAACAATGTTCAGCAAATGCCTGGTCCAAGTCCCACATCATTCACGTGTCTATCTTCTCTGAATTTGCTCTTTTGCCTGGTGTCTGCCATCCACCCTGGTGAGGGCGATCTTGGTTGACATGATGAGAGTGTCGATCGGTCAGCTTTGGCAAAAATAGGGGCCTGAGTGAGCTGGGCCCAAACTACACTCCGTGAAATAGGAGCAAGAAGCTACTAGTAACAAAGGGCATCGCCACTAGGAGCAAGAAGCTACTATCATGGAAGTGGACAATGCCCTCATGGGATGACCGGGTTCTCCTCTCTCCACTTCCATGACGCTCCGGCAATTCCCTGTGGACCTCATATCACCGGCCCCAGCCTTGTTCGCGTCCTCCAAGGTGTCCATCCCGGAGTCGATACCTCAGCGGTGCATTCTCTCCATCAACCCATCCAGAAGACTGCCAAGCAGCAAACTACGAAGAGGCGACGCTCTACTTTTCCTCTTGGATCGCTTTGGGCCCAAGATGGAGAACTCCAAGCTTTGGCATCTGGCGCCTCAGAAGTCCAAGTCCTCGTTGGGCAGCGACCGGTACCCGCGCGGCCCGCCCGTGCCGCGCTCCGGGCCGCGGGCGCCTCGGCTCTCCGCACGGCTCTCGGCAGCGAGGCGGCGTGCCTTGGCCCGGACGAGGCCGAAGGACACCAGGCCGCAGAGGAAGATCAGCAGCGCTGAGGCGCTCAACGCAATGGAGACCGCCTCAGGGGGTGAGAAACAAGGTCTGGCGCAAGCACCTACCAGGTAGAGGCAACCAAGAACCAAACAACAAAAATGCTGGCGCGGAGCAACACCCAGACATGGTGCAAAATGGGCAAAAACCAACCCAAGCGATTTCATCGTAGGTCTTGTTGTTTTACGGCTTGGGGGTAACTCCATAACATGGGATCCCAACCATGACCCCCATGACACATGTCAGAATGTCCCTGACGACTCCATGCAGCACTCTTCGAAAGCACTACCAATCAGGTGAGCGGGGACCAAGCGAAGCCACAAACCCACCAACCAACGGCCTTCATGCAAGTATATAATCTGTCTGAATGAACAAATGTTGCACAATTTTGCTACTTGCTTTCGGCACCAGAAGAAATGAATGGCAACTTCAAGCCTTATCAAGAGCTACAGTTTGGACCAGAAGAATGGAGTAGTTCCACCCCTTTGCCACCTCATCACGAATCTTGCTACTGCTACTGTGGTCCCTGCCTGTTCCGCATTCTTCTGCCAGAAGGGCCGCACCGAAGCAACACATTGCCCTGTGGAATCCAGCGTGTAGAGCATGTCTATCGTGGGATGGCGACAACTCAGGCATTCCTCGCTGGAGATGCAGCTCACGCACAGGTCCGGGCAGCGCTTGCAGCGGCGTTGCTGGAAGTCTGCCCAGTAGCCCAAGTTACAGAAGCGCACGCAACGACTCTGGCGCACATCGAACAATGGCAGTTCCGTGCCGCATGTCTGCCTTGCCAGGTCTAGCTGGTAGTAGCCAAAGTGCCCCCCATCGGCTGAGATGACTTTGAAACGGATCTTGCGCTGAGATCCCATGGGCACCGGAAACTCCAGGTACTTCTTAGGATATTGGAACTCTCCATAGGGTTCCTCCCCCAAGCGTCTCATGGGCACCCCAAGCAACTCTTCCTTCTCCCACTTCGCATCGCTGAAGTTCTTCACCAAGATGGGCACCTCTGCCTCCGCTAGGATGGTTTGCCCCGAGTCTTCCAGATGGGCTTCCAACAATCCATACTCCAAGGTCACCTCCAGTTGGCACCGGTAGTGCCGGATCGAGGGCTTGAAGCTGGGCACCAAGGCGCTGCCTTGCACGATCAGGCGCCGCAACTGGGTCTCCTCGCCCGTCAGTCGGCGGATGGTGATGGAATAGGTCCTCACTTGAACCGTTGTAGGGCCGTTAGCATCCGTTAGCTGCTAGGAAAGCATTCTAAGACTGATTCTAAGAGCTAAATCCTGCAACTCCTAAAGCAGCAGTGGCTGCAAGAGAAATGCTGCACTGATTCCGCTCCATGGAAAGAACATCTGATCAAAAGATTTAAAAAACAACACACACAGTTGTTCACCAAAATTGTTGGGGTGCAATGCAGGACCTCCATCGTCAAACTTACCAAGTCTCTGAGCCTTGCCATGCAGCTCCACGTCAAACTTGTAGAGCGTCTGCTCACCGGGCTCCAAAGAGACCCGACGCGAGAAGTCGGCGATGGCGCGCGGAGTCTCGTGAGCACAGTCAGCATCCGGGCACAAGAAGACGTTGGTGATGATGGCCTCCAACATGAACACCAACTGGTTGTGAAAAAAGAAATCAGGGAGCGGGCAAACGACGCGTGCCTTGATTTCAAGTAGACACTTGCAGCCACTCGAGTGGCTGCAAGAGACCGCGATGTGTTTCGAGCAGGCTCCATGGTTTTCAGCAGGGTGACGGAAAATCAGGAGTGAGTTGGTTGGGTTGCAATCTTGAAGCATTGAATGCAATGCGCGCGCTAGTCTTGGCCAACTAGTCTGGCGACTGTTGGTCGTGATGGGATGAGTTGCTTCCTCGTGGCACTTATGTGCGAGTGCCGTGAACTCCAGCCTTGTCGTTCAAACTCGTCTTGTTCGCTGTATATAGTTCTGTATGCTTGCTTATTTACTTCCTTGCTTCCTTACTCACTCACTCACTCACTCACTCACTCATGTGCGGTCACTTGCGGTCAATCGAGTGGCCGGTTTTTCTGCCGCAATCTGACAAATACATAATACTTTCCATGAACATGAGCGAACAAAGACTATTGCCGAAGAGGCAACGCATGCCGTCACTTGCTCCAGCGATCACTGCAAAATCACTCGAGTGGCTGCAAGTGGCTGTTTGAGAATCACAACAGCGCAATTTGCGAGCTCAATGAACAGTGTTCTCACTGGGATGGCCCGTCCGTGATCCATCGTTCGCCGCTCCTAGCCTTCCCAAGGGGTGTGGCTTCGACCGCGAAGAAGTCCATCTTGAAGTCCAAGGTGGCGTGGTAGTCCACGTGCTGACGTTGGAAGACGGGGCTGGTGTCGATGGATTGCCTCACCGCATCGATTTCACTGACCCAGAAAGGAAGAAACAAAAAGCACCGTGACCTGAGTGGATGGAACAATCAAACCACTGACTGGTTGAAAAAAGGATTCTCATACAGTATGATCCGGAATCCAATATTTCAGTGGTCCAACTGCGCATGATTTGCAAAACAACCTGGTTCCATCTTAGTTGATCACTCCAACAAGTCTAAGTGACTGTTTGTATCTCAAGTACATCACATCCAGCTCTGGCCCCTCCAACTCGGCTGCTTCGGCTGCTTCGGCTGCCACCAGCGCCAGTGCCACCAGTGTCAGGCCCCAGGCCAGCCATTGCCCCATGGTCACCCCACATGACGCCGCCTTCCCCCGGTCCGCTGAGCCAGGGCGAGCCAGGGCGGCGAACAACGGGGGCGAATCCGAAGGGAGCCGATGACGAATCAAGGTGAACTGCACGGGAAGCCTGGGAAGCCCAAAGCTTGAAAGGATAGCGATGACGGGTCACGAGGAACCGGCACGAGGAACCGGCCCTTAGGGCTCACAACGGAGGGTTGCGTGTGGACAGGATCAGAGAACAAGGCCGGACCATCCGTGTGGTTCTCTGGTGTTCGCGGACTGGTTCTGGTCAAATGACTCAGGGCAAAATGAAAGCACACACAATTGCGATATACCGTGGGATAGTCCCACTTTTTGTTCGTCTGGAGACGACTAATGCTCGGAGAAAAGGAAGAAGGCCGTCAACGTTGGTTTGGGACCCAACTGGCCATGGTGAGCTGCACTCGGCATCTACATATGCTAGACTCCTCGAAGACCAGTGTTTCTGACCCGTGACGCTTCACGGGCCCCGCACGCTTCAGGGTGATCTCGTCGGACCAGGTGGACACCTCCTCAGCAACTCCAAACGTTTGGTGCCACGTCCCCTGGGCCCCGAATCCTGGTAGCATTGAAGTAAACGACATGGGACGTCGATGATACAGATCTGGCTGCGCAGGATTTGTTTTGGTTGAACTAGTTTTGAGTGGCGGATGCGTCGACAATGTTTGATGATATTGGAGCAAGCCAAGTCAGATCTACCGGCAGGTTCGTCGACACATGCCCAGTGCTCAAACCACGGGCCGTCCCTGAGCCGAAAAAGAAAACAGTAAATTTAAAAAGCAGGCTCCCAGTATATACCTCTCCAAGGTGCGCACATACTTCAGCCACCAAGTCTCTGATGACGAATATAAACAGTTGTTAGATTCGATCTCCTGGCCCTTGCTGGGTCACAGCGACGCCCCCCACTACCCCGTCACGGTCACTGCCCTCGATTCGTTCAGATTTTGCCCCGCCTCCTTGGCCCAGTACAGCACGTAGTCCACAATCTGCATTGGCGATCCATGTCTATGTCAAAGCCAGGTGCATCCCATGCTAAGGTTAACTAGTAACAAGGGCATCGCTACTAGTAACAAGGGCATTACTATAGTAACTAGTAGCTAGAAGCTACTAGCAACAAGTGGTCCAAGGGGTGAACTTCTAGGGTCTTGGTCAGTTGCCCAGGTGCCCGTCACACCAAGCAACCTGAGGGCAGGTTCCCTCCTTTTCCCACCTAAGATTTTGAAAGAATGACTCCGGGAGAGCCTGGAAGATGATGAATTTCTTTGACCATGCTGGGCCAGATCAGTTGGAAAGTGAACGCGTCTAATTTCTCTCCACGTCTCCCACTCTCCCACACTCTGTCCCTCCTTCCATTGCCATTACGCCACTCTGCCCAACCTATGCCACCAGTGGTACAAGAATGCCAACTTCCACTGCAAACGTTCACTCAGACGGAAGCGACTAAACCAAACAAATCACAATTCTTAAATAGATAGATCCTTGAACTCTTCCACCACGGCCCTGTGACATGGGTCTGGCCAGAAAGAAGCTACCTTGTGGCAGCCAGCTGTCACACCTGTCACCTGGGCGACGGCGGTGTTTCACCGTTCCGAACCTGGAACTCATCGTGCTCGGGCGGGTAGATGGTGATCTTGCCTCCGGTCACCTTGGAGGAGCATCCGGTGCCCGGTGCCCCGAAACGACCAGAAGTCGAAGATCCGACGAGAGGAGAGGTAGATCCAACAGCATGTGAGACACAACGAGGTGCCGTGGAGTCAAAGGAGTCGAGTCAGGTGGAGGCTATTTTATTTCTATAGCTTCCCATGGCTAAACAGACTTAGCAGCTTCCCGGATGCAGAAAGACCCTCATCGACTCATCGACTCCTAGATCAACAAATCTCTTTTCCTCTCAGCCTGTTCATGGCGCACACTCGGCCCCCAGGCATGGCCATCGGAGGTTTGGAAGTCTTCGAGAACCAACTTCTTGGCCTCAAAGCTTCCACGGATCTTGGGTGAAAAACAATTAAGCGACCGGAACAACATTTGGTTGTGGTTGAGTGGTGGGTGATTAACCGAAATTGAGTGGTTGAGTGGGTTGGGTGGATGTGGCTTTTTGTGGGTGAAGGCTTTGGGCACCGAGCTGGGAGATGCTGAAGGAGAAATCCGTCCATGCCGGGGGCCACTGATGCTCCACCAAGAAGCCAAGCAGCTCGCGTCAGCACTGGGCACTGGGCTTCCCCCACCAGCTGCCGAGGCCGATCCCCACTCCGGATCACAATGTCGCCTTCCGCTCGCAGACGGCGCGCCAGCGAACCGCTGTGAACGAAGGCACCGGAAGGAAAAGGCTCGGATCTGCGGATGGAGTTTGAAGGAGGCCGCAGCTTTAGACTTCAGTTCCAAATGGATGGTATAGACCCGGAGGCCGCCGGAGGCCATTTAGAGATCCACGCAGAAGCGAAGTAGATCGTAAATCCGGTTACTGTTGTGAGATTCAGAACCGCCACAAGGGACAATGAGAGCAAATGGTACGTACCTCTGCGGGTGCTGGGCGATGCTAGGTGCCAAAAAGCACTTGGGGAACTGTAGTTTCTCGCTCAAGTCAAAAAATGAAAAATGTGTGATGAAAGGAAACTACATAACATTCTCATATCTATATCTATGTCTACATCTTTCTAGATTATGTATTATGTACAAAAGTATGTTTTAAAAACTATTTATATATGTGTGTATGTATACATATATATATATAGTTATATATATATATAATGTGTGTGTGCGTGTATGTGCATAGTATACGTGTGTGTGTGTGCGTGTGCGCGTGTACCAGTGCATTCGATCGCGCATTCACAATTCATAATGCAATCTATTTGTAAGGGGTACATCTGCAAAACACCAACAAGCACATCCCGCCCAACCCAATCGGTGCATTGTGAATCTGACCATGCGATCCACCACCAAAAGAAATGGTGGCAAACGCTCGTAGCATGAGGAAAACAAGCACTCCATGACTCGAGCCCTACAATCGAAGACCTCTCCGGGGTCTCTGCATGTGTCTGCTGACCCCTTGGCTTTTGATATGGTCAGAGGTGTTTTGTTCGGATTTATTCATGTTTCTTTCACTCTTTGCCACTGAGCACAGGCTCTTACCACCACCAAACAGGGCCAGGATCGGAGTTGACCAGTCGTGCTGGGCAGCCAGGCCAGTCTTGTAGTCCACGGTGGCCCGCTCTAGGAGGCGGTATCTCAGTGACGTGTCCCCACAAATGGGCCAGGTGGGATGCCCTTCTTTTTGTCATGAAAACGCTCCACCTGGATGTGTCGTTCTTTTTTGTTTCAGAACGTCAGCCCACCACATCAGAGAACCTCACCAACACGCATGACCTGCGGTCGCACCTCAACCCGTCACGCACACAGTCCTGTATGGATGGCAGGAGTGCCGACCAAGCTCTTGTTTCATGCTCGCATGTTCCATCTGGATGCCATATCCGACTTGTCAGACCGACCACATTGGCCGCCACTTGGCACCCAGGCCCCATCTGGATGTCACGCTGCGCAGCATGCAGCAGGAGCATGTTGGTGGACCAGACCTGCAGCACAAAATGCATGAGGGGGAGAGGTCTCTGAATCATCAAATCATCAACCTCACCAAGAGCAGTCTGTCAAAGAAACATACTTGTCCATATTAACACATACACCCCCAGTACTTTAAGCCCAAGTCATTGATTGCACCTACATCTCAACCAACGGAGCTTCACAACTGATGCTCAGCTGGCCTGGTCACAACAAATTCTAAACTTAAACGCAAACCTCCCGGTATCGCGGCCTCACTTTCTGCCTTTCTTCTGCTAACCCCATGCCAGTCTCCAATTCTTGCTTCCTCCCAAATCCTCACCCTTCTGCAAATCTCCACCGCAACACATGCCACCCACACATCTCGCCTTGGCTTCCTCCAGCGTGGGATATTTCTCTGCCAGCTCCCGCGCTTGGTGATCTGGGACGCGCCAGTTGGGCCCGTAACGCGCCTCAACGTAGATCTCCTCAGCTGGAGCGAATGCTGGAGGGACAGAAATGGCCGGGAATGCCTAGTGAGGCCTGGTGGCCCAGGTGGAACGGGAAGAAAAGTGAAAGAAATTGGCACGTCTGGGACCAAGATCCCGCTCCCATGCGTCCTGCTCCCGTGGCGCTGGGAAGGAGATGTTCCGGATCATGACCTGAGCGACGTCGGTTTTTGGGAGATCAAACCCGAGGACCTCGGAGCTTGTGCCCCTCGGACCTGCGTCTTCTCATCTTGCTAAGTGCCACATGTCTATCATGTCTTCCAATCATTTCAAGTTTAAAATCCCCTCAGGCGTGGAAAAGCCAACACTTTCACCATGGAGTTCAGGGTGAGCAAATGATACAAGTTCTGACTTGTGACTTCACCCAGCACTTTTCCCACACTCTGAAAAGACCGCCCCCGGATGTGCCAGGCTTTCGGCACCGGGCGGTGGAGGCTGGATAAATGAGGTGCTTCGTGGCTTGCGCGAAGTCCATTTCTGCACAGCTAACCCGACTGGGGGTGTGCAAAAGCCACATCTTCAGCTTCTTACGAGCACAGGTTCCAGCTTGCTACTACTACTGCTACGAAGACGACTACTACTGCTACTACTCCTACTACTCCTGCTACTGCTACGCCTACTCCTTCCTACTCCTACTACTGCTGCTACTACTACTACCACCACCACCACCGCCGCCAATGCTACTCTTCTTTAATGATGGACACCTAGAGTGACCTACAGTAGCAGATCTAGCAATCTCAGGACTGTTTATTCCAACATTGTTGCTCTTCTGCGGCCTTCATCGTAGATGTCCATGAAGTAAGCCAGGTCATTGCCTTAGGGCCGCCCACGCCTCGAACCTGCTTCCCAGTCGACGTCGTAGCAGTTTCCCACGACGTCCGAAATTGCTTTGATTTAGGCATCTCCAACCGCGCGGCTCAGTTTGCTCTCAGTAAGCATTGGAATAGCAAGGCCGGCCAGGGGCTGCACCGACCTTCTCCGTGTCCCACTGGAAATGTTGATCGAACGGAGCCTGACCACATCTTGCAGCTTCCAATTGCCGCTATGAACCGTCTGCCTGACTGAAAGAACGGCTCGTGAAATCTGCCCCACCAAAACCTTTCATTCCATGTCATTTTCCAGCATGTGCTCAGAAGTTACGGTATATTTAGGCCACTGGTCTTGAAGCTGCAACTTCGTTCCGCGCAACTGCCAATTCCCGTTTTCTGGGCATCGGACCCGATTGACCGGAAAGCCTTGCCACCTCGGCTGCGTTCAATGCATCCTTCATCCTTCCATTTGTCAACGGGTTACTAACATGGAAGTGGAAACCACCCTTATTGTAGAGGAAACTAGTCTTCCCAAAGGCTATTTTCCACTTCCGTGTTAGTGAGTCGGAGGGTATGAAGCATCCGCCCCCACAATTCGAGAAATCCAACCCACATGGTAGAGGTCATCACTTGGAAAATGAGCTATCGCCCCTCTCGTTCGCCACTGACTTGAAATCTTTCACAACCGTAATTGAAAGTTGAAACCCAGTGGTTTAAAGAAGATTGCAAATGCCCTACTCTGAAACTCGTGTATGGAACCTAAGGGACCAGAGTGCATCGAAGTCATTCATCTGAGGACTCTGTCAGCCTGCCAGAGCCCAAACGCTTGGAAAAAGCCCAAGCTTGGGCAGCCCACCTCTCCAAGTTCCGGCACAAAAAAACGCGCGACTGAGTGCTTCCTGCCCTCCCTTATGGCCAAAATCTATGGTCAAACGAACCTGTTGGGAATGGTCATGGTCGGCCCCCCTGCTCTTGGCTAAAGGAACCCGGGGGGGCTTCTCCCCACGATTTGGCCCTCAAAAATCGAGGAAGGCGGAACTCGCTTCTCAAGCGAATAGAGCCGATGGTTGAGCTGAGATGGTTGACGGGCCGAGTGGCTGATAAGGTCTGGGTTCCGTTCTTCTAAGTCCTTCCAATGTCAAAGGCCGAGGGGCACAGCACACAGCCGGGCACAGTGGGGCTGATCCGGATCCTGGACAGGGAAGCAGCTGTTTTGGGGTGGTTTCAGTTTCTGTTACCAAATATATAACTGACGCCCTAAAGGTCACACCGCATCACATCAAGATTGATCATCCTTCGTGCCATTTGCAGTGGGTACTGAAAAATTCTCCAACATTAGACAAATTATATAATCCATGAGTTTCAAGTGGATGGCCTTAGAAGCTTTGGGCACCATGACGATTCATGCTCTCCTCAATCGCTGAGGGCCAAAGGATTCACTTCACACCAGCTACTTGCCCTGTCACTGTGGACCCCGGCAACCATCATGTGATAGGACTTGCTGGCTAAAGGCTCCTGGGCAGCGGCCCCCAGGAGCAACATGGGGGCAGGAACTTCCAATGTAGATAGCCCGGCGAAATGCCTGGAACCTACCTGTTAGGTATATACTGGGGCACATTTGATACCCTACACCAATGTCTCACTCCGGGACAATCAAACGATTTGATCATGAAGCTGCCGCATGATATATGTATGTATGTGTATATATATATATATATGTGTGTGTGTATTTATGCATAAGATCAATGCACTTTTGCTGGTGTAAGTTTTCATGGCAGTGCAAAGACAGTAGTTGATTTCCAGGTGGGCGTCAAGGTATTACTATGTATTACTGCTGTCGAATAGAAAACCGCCTGGATCCGGATCCACTCCCAGACAGGGTCCTTCCTAGAAGTTCCAGTGCTCCCAACGCTCCAACGGAACCCAGTGCGTTCCAACCAAACCCCACGGCGTTCCACCGTCGAAAACGCTCCTCGTTGATCAGCATCGCCCGCTCCCAGCCTCCCAAAGCACGGATTCACCAGGTGGGAGGCACATGGCAGCGTTGGTGCCACCAGCTAGGCTCAAAATCGTTGGGGATCAGAGCTGCAGTCCTCAACTCCAAAAGTCTATGGACGGTCAACATCATATCTGCCACCCCGGAATGTAGAACAAACCACCATCAAAAAACAAAAACCGTTCAGCTTCGCGGCCGTTCTCATCCTCCAGCTACGTCAGATTCGCACCTTCCCGCGGCACAAAGATGTCCAGGTCGGCGGTATAGGGGATGATGTCCTGTGGCGCGTTCCCTGGTTCCTACCACAGCTAGGGTAGGAGGCATGTGGTACTGCAATGTACTGCAGGCATCACGGTGTATAGGAATTTCGTGGTGAAGGCATGATGACTCGCAGAACTTTGGACAGGCTTAGGGTGTTCTTCAGTCTCCCCACATGTGAACAACCGAACAACAAAACTGGGCGATGTCCGTATCTCCCCATGGGTCCCAATCGCCTGATCCCGCACGGCCCCAAGAAGGGTCCCCTCGGAGACCATAAACGTGACATTCTGCCTCGCCAGGCAGACGGAAGCACGGCAAGTGACGCAGGTGGTTTCTCTCCTCCACGAAAACGAGTGGAATGCACTTGTTAGCTATTCTAAGTCAAAGTGTTAACGATTATTTTCTTGAGAGGGTGGGGCTATCTAAGTTTTTATAAGTTTTTGGGGCAGCTAGTGCATGCAACATCATGTAACTGGTGAACCGCCCCAGAGCTGCCTGGTCAGGAATCGGCTGAAATCGACCAGCATCTCAAACATGAGGTCGGCACAACCTCGCCATGAGGCACTAGGCTACGCTGCATGCCTTGCCTTGAAAACCACCAGGTCAGGTTGGAAAATGCGGTTCTGTTTCGGATGGTCAAGGAAGTTTGGGTCACCCTTTGGGCGAGCAATTCAAGGAAGGGTGCAGACCGTTCGGTTTCGGTATGCATCCGGTGTGATCGCAAGGCGTGCATCGACCCTGGACTAGGTCACTGACACTGGGGATCACTTGCCGAGTGCCACCCAAGTTGAACGCCACTGAACGCCACTGGGTTCAAAACCTGCCTGCCAAAACTGCAAATACATCCGAGAGGGGGACATGGATACCAACTAATCAATTCGTGTTCTTTTATGGGACTTGCATTTTGGATTCAACGGTGGCCTGTGCTCCATAAGGCTATATGACCCGACGGAACCGCCCTTCCCTGGGCGCTCCGGCAGTTCCCGTTCACCTTACAGGAATCCAGATCCCTCGAGCCTCAGCGCGGGCAGCCCAGCCAACAAAGCCATGGTGATCATGAGCAGGTTGAACATCAAACCATGTTGTTTTCTGGAACTGCTGTGGCGACTCACTAACTGTGAATACTCCATGGCCATGCCCCAACGGAAACTGCAAGCCTCTGAACCTTCCCCCCTCCGGCTGTCTATCAACACGACGACTACTGCAATATGACCATTTTTTTTTCCGGCACTTCTTTGTACTTCAGGCGGTTTTTCCCCACGTTTTTGCGTGAGGTTCTTACATTTATCTGCGTCCCGTCGTCCGAGACCGCGCCCACCGCTCTGACTCTACTCACTCTCACTCACTCACTCACTCACGCACGCACGCACGCACGCAGGCACGCAGGCACGCAGGCACGCATGCACGCTCTCCGTCACACTCTCACTCACAGTCTCACTGGCTCTCTCTCTCTCTCTCTCTCACTCACTCGCTCGCTCACTCACTCTCTCTCTCTCTAATCTAATCTAATCTATAATCTAATCTAATCTAACCTAACCTAACCTATTTATCTATCTATCTATCTATCTATCTATCTACAGTATCCCCCTCTCTTTCTCTCTCTCTCTCTCTCTCTCTCTCTCTCAGCGTGTGTACTCTGCCCATCCCCCTGTCTTCCGGAGCCAGCTGGGCCACCCCTGCACGGTGGGCTCCGACAGGCCTCGGGAAGCTGCGAGGCGAGAGAAGGCGAGGGTGAGGGACGCCTGGTGGCGAACGGATCTCAGCCGCTGACATGACCTTCCGCTGTGGCCAAAACGCCTCCCAGGCCGAGGGCCGAAGTGGGAATAACCTATCGATATCTTTGAGGTAGACATGTGTTTAAATAGGGTCTAGAAATCTGGTTCGCTGGGATGACGCAAGCACAGTCAGTCCAGTTCAAGGAACTTCCAAGCCAAAGGCCGCTGCAGGCGCACGGTTGAGCACCAGTTGCAGGTGACCGGTTCTACACTCCAAATCAGGGATGAGACACTCAACAACAAAAGCAAGCCAGAGGGAGGGGAAGTGCATTGGCGCCTTGAAAAACTGCAGGATTGAACCAAGGTTTCCTATCCAGTCATCCATCAGTCTATCTATCTCTCTGCTTAATCTAGGGTTTGCCACAGGACCTGGCTCTTCTCAGCGGCTTTTTCCTCAAGGAGCCACAGCACGGCATCTCGGTACCAACGGAGCCCTACGGCCAAAGCACGTCGGTTGTGCCGCCTCAGCCAACGCAGCACGCAGTCACTCGATGCTGATGCGGATGCTTCTTCTTGATGGTGGTACCATCCCTAGACCTACCCTTTCAATGGGTAAAGACTAAGATTGATATATACTACAACAGGTAGAGATTGTGAATCTCATCTCCAACTGTCGTGACAACCCTTTCCATCTATTGGGGGACTACTACTTGCAATCACGAAACACGTTGTTGTTGAGGAACCTCCGCTAAATGCTGGTTCGAGTTTCACAGAAACAGAGCATGAAAAAAAGAACCTGTGAATGGGATAGACCCACCCACTCTGAAACTAGCCCACGGTGCGCTTAGATGACGCCAAAAAAAAGAGATAGCAAAAATAGGAAACTTATAAAAAGAAAAGGTCGTAGAATGCAGAGCGAGAGCATGGGAGGCCTTCCGGAAGGCCGGAAAAGAGCAACAAGGAGCTGTCTGGGGGGTTTCACCATTCCAGTCCATTATGAAATCCTCTCTGGTGCCACACCCGCGAACATTATATACTTAAATATACATATATCATGTTTTTTATTTGTTGTTTCTCTTGTACGAAATTAGGTAACCCCTGCGCTCCGCACTTGCATGGTCCATTTTGGCACACACAGAGGACCGCTGTAAGCACAAGAGCCATGGATAATAGATATTCCGATATTCCCCTTCCTGAAGGTCCTTCGCGAGAAACGAGGGCAGGAAACTGGTTGTATCACCACTCCTGGTGCATGATGCCTGGCAAAGGTATCTACAGCTCAAACCTTCCGCCGCTCCGCCCCCCTGTGACGCAGGCTGCTCAGCCCGCCAGGCTGCTGCATCTTCCGCCGGGCCCGGCGGAGGCGGTCGGTGTCCAGGAGCTGCAGGAAGAGCTCGGAGAAGGAGCCGAAGCGCAAGAGGTGCCTAGGGCACTGTGCCACTCCCATTGAAGCAACAAGCCCCTTGGGCATTAGGAATGGAAAACGTGGGAACACATGACATGACCTCAACCTGGGGGCCCCTGGGTCCCTCGCTCCAAATAGCCCCGGAGCGAAAGTTGACAGGGGATCGAAGAAAACATTCGCAAACGCATACCAAGGCACGGCAAGCGCTGACAGTCCGAGAAGGCGTACCTGGACACGCACACAGTTGATACTCAGACAATCTGAGTAGGAGGCTTCTGGTGCAGGAAAGACACTGGAAGCCATGATTCAGCTCGACCCTTCGGCCTCCAGAGTCGAACACCACCCGAACACCACTCAAGTTCACCACCTTGATCCCATGTCTTGCGCGCTCCGGATCCACGGTGCAGGGCACCAGTACAAGACAGTCTCCGGATCCGAGGCCTCAGGCCTCCACCACGGATAGGGTGGGCTCTCCACACCTCGGAGGCAGTCAGAGCGCCGAGCCAAGGTGGCCTAGTGAGCCAAGTGGTCACCCAAACGTGCTCAAGTGGTCACGCAGTGGAATATCATGAATCCCTGCGTGAGGTTCCATCAACATTGCTGAGAGGGTGATTCACACATGATTCAATGATGAACTGATCCATCTTAGCTGGAAGTTGAGGCAACCAGGTTTTGGATTCTTTGAGACTCTCTCTCTCTCTACCTGCCTCGGGCTGCCGCGAGGTGGGCGAACTCCAGGGCACCCAAGGGCTGCGACCAGATCCAACCGGTGAAGAATTGGACCTTGAAGATCCAGCCGCTCCTGAGAGCGTCGCGTCGCATCCGTCGTGGTGGAGGTTGTTCAACTCCATGGGAGTGGCCGTGCCATTTGGCACCCCTGAGGTGTTGGACCGGAGGGTTCAACTTGACCGAAACTCCATGTTCCGCAATTTGTTGGACAGCTTCGACGTGAAGCTGTTTCTGGGGCACTCTCCGACCAAACCGCCTGAAGCCAGGCTGCCGGGGTAGCAGGAGCACGGTGTTCAGTCGATAGAGCTCATAGAAGGCCATGAGCGTGGGATCCCAGGGAAAGAGCACCGCCGCGCGGAAGCGCCGCATCTCACCTGGTCGGCCAATTGGGGCACAGTGGGGAAGGGAAAGAGAGAGAGAGAGAGAGGGAGAGAGATGAGAGAGAGAGAGAGAGAGGGAGAGAGAGAGAGAGAGAACGGCGGAACGGCGGAAATCCGAGAAAGCCTTTTTCCAAAAAGGAGAATCATGTGGGGGGAGGTTCCAAGAATCATAAGAATCCAGTGTTCCAGATGCAAATGTTGGAATGAATTCCATCTCTTTGGGGAGGGGGACCTGTATACTCTAATTGGAAACGGTCTCAACACCACGCAAATTAGCAGGGTATAGATCGTTGCGACCTAGAAAACCACACCTTTCCTCCCCAAAAGTCCCCTTCCCCGGCCGAGGCCGCTCGCCCAGCTCATCCCCTCTTGCGGCACCGCGGCACCGAAGGTCACAAAGTCTTCCGACGCCTTCACCAGGCGCAGGGGCAGCGGGAAGTCGCAGGCCTGCAGCTGTGCCTGGCCACGGTCACCGCGCCGCAAACCCAACGGGTGGAACCCCAGATTTGGCCCGAGCATGGTCCTCGCCGCACCCCCGTGCCAAAGAATGAGGGTGCGGGAGAACCTCTATTATTTTAAATATATATATATATATGACACCGATTCATCATCTGCCAGCACTGCTTCGGCCCTTTTTGTCGGGTGC